TAATGAAGGCAGATTTAGAAAATGAAAAGAAAAGGGAAAGCAAAGGAGAGGGGACAAAGAAGAGGAGAGAAAACAGATGTAGGGCATATTCAAAATGAAGTTTTCTCAAGGCAAATCAAAACATTCTAAAATCACAGATTTAATTTTTTAAAAAAACTAAAGAGAAAAGACACACTTTGTATAAATAATAAAAGCAGAGGCAGCAGATATAACTTTGTTTAAAAGTTCCCTTGCTTGGCGAGCAATTTATTATTATAAGAAAGCTGATGACAACAACTTTTCTTCGAAGGAACTGTTTCCCAAAATTCCAAACTAAACCCATTAATTCCTAACAGGGGAATGGGTATTTTGTTTCAGTGATTATGTTAACTTTATTACTGGTTCATGGCTTTATAAAAGTTCAATATTATTGCTTTATATTTTATTAAATGTTTTAAAAGCTTCAAGCAGGGAAGTAGAATAAAAATTTAGACAGAAAGAAATATGCACATCACAAATTATTCCACTGAATATCACTACTGACACACAACGCTTTCAGCATTGTTCTTTCCCACCTACTTATTTTTCCTTTTATTTAAATGCTCAATATTTGGGGGGGGGGGGTTCCCTTTGATGTACTCTTCTCAAATTTTTTGCCAGCTTTTTACCTACTATGCCTTTTACTTTCAAGAGGGATCTTCGTCCCATTTTTCCTATCTTATTAGACAAAAATAACTGCTGTGATCACATTTCATTTTCATCCTCTAGCTGGAATCCTGGAGTTCTCTTTGATCCCAATATATCTTTAGAGGGATCATCTTATATACATATATGTTACCAATACATCCCTTTTCTTACCTTCTTAAAAATGTCTTGCCGTCAACATGTGCCATCCAAAATAGATTTGGAAAGACTTGTGAATATTTGTGCAGCCTCCAGGACTAGCTACTATCATTCTCAGTTCCTTGGTATTACAGAAATGTTGCTTCATTGATTGCAACTGGTTCAGATTCTACAGCCCACATTCCTTGCTATGTTAGATCTAGTATTACTTTACTACCTTTTTGTACTAGCTCCCAGTGAGATCATTGGCTGTCTTATTAATACTGCAGATCAAAGGGTATCTACCTACATCAAGAACGAGGAACCTGTGTTGGCCCAGGTAACTCCTAGCAGTCTCAACCACCATAAAAAATGAAGGAAAGATACTAGGAGCCATTAATCAGCAAAATTCCCTTTTATTTTTGTGAATGAGAATTGTTATAGGTTTTAATTGTATATTTATTTATTGTTTTAACGTGTTGTGAGCAATCCAGAGTCCCCCATTGGGGGGATATGGGCAGGGGACAAATTTAATAAATAAATAAAAATAAACAAACATCTGGAGTATCACAGGTTCCCCACTGCAGACCTTGATACTTGTAGAAATATAATTTTTTTAAAAGTAACCATTTCCAGAACTGACAGGATCTTCCTAAATACAATGGTTGGATACTCAATCCACATTCAGGATCTTGGTATTTAGTACCTATGACCGCTTGATAATCCCACAGAAACTCCACAGTAGTGAAGATACTATACTTCTAAAGCTTGGTCACAGACAAATATTATCAATAGGATCCTGAAAAGGTAATTTTGACATTTGACTGAAAAGACTACATGCTGGACTCAGGTAAAAATTGGTTCAAGTAACCATGGAAGCTCACAGAGTGACTTTGGGACAGTCTGTCTCTCAGCACAACCTACCCCACTGGGTTGCTGTTGCCAAGAGAAAACAAGAGAGAGTACTATGTACACATTCTTGGGCTTCTAGAGGAAATAAAGAATATACACTGAAGAAATAAAGAAGCAAACATCCTGTGGTACTTATATTAAACTCAGATTTTACTTTAAGACTGCTATCTTATAAAAGGCAGACAAATTCCATTACAATAATAAAGGAAGAAAACCTCCCATTTTAGAACTAAACATCAACTTATTTTAATACCATTTTTATACAGTATTACATGGAAAAGCAGGTATGCTACTCACAAGGAACAAACCAATATCCAAATACAGTACTGAGGCAGTACTTTCACTGGCTAATTCAAAGTTTAGAAAACGGTATTGCTTCTAAGAACTTTTCACCAGGCAAGATTTGGCGGAGAAGGGGAAGGAGGAGACAGAAAAATGAGGAAGCCTTTGTGTGTAGCCTTCAGACATGTTGGTCAATCTTTTAATACACAGAAGTGTTGTTAAGTCACATTAAGGGCTCTCCCACAGCTCCCAGGTAAAAAAAATAATTGTTGGTCCTCCATTTCTGGAAATATGCAGTCTAGCTGCTGAACAATCAAAAGTTTCCTTCATCCTTGGAAGAAGGAGTCACCTTGGGAAATTGAAAAACAAAATAAAGAACAACTAGGGAAGACTGATGCAGACTTCATCTTTAGACTAACAAAGCCATAGGTAATTTTAGTTATTATATAGCAATGTTAAAAACCCCACCGATTACCTAAGTTACCTAAAAACCCTATCGATTACCTAGTAGTCAGTGGGCACATGAATCTATTTTATCTAAAGAAGGTTGCTAAGAAATCCAAAACACTTTGCAGTGATCTTCATTTAACAATTGCTCGTTCAGCAACCATTCAAACTTGTAACAGTGCTGAATGAGCAATAGTTACGACCAGTCCTTGAAGTTCCAGCCATCACAGTGTCCTCACAGTCACATGATCATGATCCAGGCACTTGGCAACCAGACTGGATTTCTGACCATCGCAGTATCTCACGGTTATGTGATTGTGATTTGTGACCTTCCTCGCTGGTTTCCCACAAGCAAAGTCAATGGGGAAGCTAGCAGGAATTCGGAAGTCATGATCACGAGGTCCTTGCTTAACAACCTGCATGGTTCTTGCTTAACTATGATAACCGGGGACTGCTAGAACTGCTGTCACTAAGTGGCATGGCCACATGATGTTGTGCTTCACAACCGCATAGCTTAGTGATGGAAATTCCAGTCCCAATTACCATCGTTAAGTGAGGACTACTTGCAATATAAAAGTTTAGTTGTTTAATAAATATATTACTTTAGTGGATTTATAAATTTGGATTTTTTTGGCTCAACTAACAGTCATATTTTTAAAATACAGTTTGAGATTATTAGTGCAACACTAATATAAGCAATACTTTCAATATTTTCTCAGTTAAGGTAGCCATATTTGAAAAGCCATAAAAGAGACCTTGTTGTTAAGGTTATATCTTTAAGGCTTTTTGCTTAATTATCATAAATTATCTATGAATGGTTGTGCACAAATGTTTAACATGACTTATGGGGGTGGGCTGGGGACAATTATTTTTAACTTTACACCACCTTGTAAAATGGTTTTTGTTACTTTTTAAATAAGACACTCCGATCACACAATGCCCTCACAGAATCCAAAGATTATCTTCCTGTCACATTTAAACCAAGCTTCTTGTTTTTCATTCAAAGGCCTCCAGCAATTTGCCCATTCCCTTGCTGTCCTGTTTGAATGAATGCTTTCAAGAATGCTGATTCTTACTTCCTTCAAAATCCATTTCTTTTCCAAGAATTCTTTGGCACAGCCCTGTGGCTCTTCTAATCCTACTGAAAGTAAGCCTAAGCATGTGTATGCTGAACAACCCTACCCTGCACTTCATTCTAACTACTCTTTCCTGTCTTCCACTCTTGCTGCATCTTAGATAGTAAGTTTCTTGCGTCTGTTGGGGACTTCCTTACTTTAAAATTGATTTTTTAATGCAAGCCACATCCTATACCTTTTCTCTACTAAGCAAAAGTTATGATAAACAACTTTAATAATAATTAAATAAAATCAATGGACCTGAAATTACAACTTATACAACAAAAAATAATATTTAGAATTTATTGGACTCCATTAAGTTTGTATAGAAAAGGATTGTCAAAAGCAGCATTTTGTTGGAGATGTAATAAGGACAATGCTTCTTTAAAACATGTTTCTATAATGTTCTATACTTATCAAGTTTTGGGAGAAAGTAGTGGACTATATAAATAGGATTGTGCGACAAAAGTTTAAAATTTTCAGAGGATAATATTCTTTTGAAGTATATACCTAGTACATGGAACTTGACAACTGGACAATGTAAACAGATTCCCTGTGTCCTTACTATGGCCAAAGACTGATATTGCAGCATTGGAAAGATAAATATATGGCCCCATTTATTCAATAGATTGAAGACCTGGTTGTACTTGTTACTTACAAGCAGATTGCCTATAAACATAGATTTTATACGGACAAGTATAATGAAATATGGGACTCATTTATAGAAAATACAGTTGGTTAAAAAAATGATAGTTATATAAATGTATTAGAAATATACATGCACTTGAATAACATTTGCAGTAGATAAGTATATATAGAATTGTAATTGTTTACTGTTATAATGACATATTAACGTTTTTTCTTTGTGTTATTTCTTTCCCTTTTTTTTTTAAAATACTTTCTATTTTCCCCCCCCCCCCCCGGTCTCAATAATAACAAATCAATAAATAATAAAACCCACTGCTCCCAGAAAACCAATTTGCGTTATATCAGGAGAGCCAACTGGAAAGCATCATTTGAAGAAGACTGATACAACATGGTAATACTCTTCAGCCCAGAATCCTTATTTGTCTTTTCAGCCCCAAAACAGAGGTGAGTCTTGGCTCTAGATATCAGTTAAGCCAATGGAGGCACTACATCTCACTGAATAAAAACAGGATTCAGACTAAATATAGCCTTTTTATATATACTGCATTATAACAGAATTACTTACCAAGTTAGCCATGTAAATTGTAAGCAGACCCCTCCTATAAAGTAAAAAAAAAAAAAAAGACACAGAGTAATTACCAGGGCATCCAAAATGCATTGTATTATCACATCAAACACAACACAATCAACAATTCCGCCATAAATTTAAAAGGAAATTCTGTTAATAGCCAGAGCAGTGAAAACACCAACTCTACTCTAGATTACTTTGCTTTGGAATTTGGTCATATTGGTGGCTTTGAAAAGACGTACTTACTTATTTATATTCAAATTAGTTATAGCTGCCCATCTCCGACAGACTCTATTGTGCAATAAGTACAATAAGTTCTACAATATGTTGTATAATATGTACAATATGCTACTACCATATTCAGTTGTAATGATTCCTTGTTCCTTGCAAAGTTGCTGGATCTAAGCTTTAAAGCTACAGATCTATTACATCTATTACATTTCAAGTCAATGCTCTCTCCAAGGATTTCAGGGAATTGCAAGCACAGTATGTTTTTGTTTTGTTTTTTTCCTGTGAGACTGCAGATCAGCTAAGGACCAGCACAAATATATTAAACTAGGTTCCACCAACCCATGTCAGAAATTCCAACTATGCTGTCTCTAGATCTTATATCATACATTAAGGAAAGTTCCCCAGAGCTTAGTTTAATCTTTTATTTTCAATCAACCAAGTTCATTCACTTACTTATATCAAATTAGAATAGATCCAGTTCTAGTCAACTTTGCCTGACCTGCCTACAGATACTACAGCTCTATCATACAATATTCAATCTGGGAATTCTCTTTGTTTACATAATTTCCTAACTATATGAGCTGTTGCCCAGTCTAACAGGTCAGTTGTCCTTGGCTAGAGATCTTCAAACAAAGGCTGATCATCTAATAGAGATGTTCTGATAGATTCTGCACTAAGTAGGGGATCAGATGACTTCTGATCAGATGACTTCTAAAATCCCTTCCAACTCTATGTTTCTATGAAATTGAATGAATCCCATGTTTACTAATTGTAGAAAGAATAGTCGTACTATATCAATTTCTCCAAATCACACATATCTATGTTGGTAGATCTGCTGCCCAGGCTGTTCCTTCAGAGGAATTACCATATACAATAGACCTGCTGGTTGATGTGATCAAAATTGCTGTTGTTGTTGTTGTTGTTAATTCTTTTTTGAAGAATGCTCAGCAAATGCTAATAATTTAGGGTCAATGCAAGCTTTATCCCAAAGCCTAAAAATTGCCCAAATACTGCTGTAAAAAATAATGTATGCGATACCAAGCAAAGCTGTTTTTTGTGAATTAAATGTGGTGAGATCAAATAATTCAATTTTTTCAACCCTTGACAATTTTACTGTTATAGTTCCTAATGCTCTAATAATTATTCCACAATCTCTGTATTTAATCGTTAAGTCCCAATATTTTACAATCTTTTCCAATTCCGTTTTAGCTACCCTGCTGTCATTTGGTATTGCCACATCTATAATTAAAACCTGCTCTTCTTCAACATGTCCAGCATGTTGTTTTCTAGATGCTGATCTGCCTGAATTCAAAGCCTCATTAAATTTTTACATCATTCTGTAATACTTTTTCAACATTATGATCATACCAATACTTTGGGGCATCAAATCCATACTTTTTACACAAATTACAGTGCATCATTTTTGCCACTCAGGCATGTCCTGTCTTAATAATCTGAGCAATTGTATTAGTGATCAGCAGTCTTGCCGTTCTCTTTGCATAATCTACATTTGCTGTTGTTTTTAGGTTTTTTTGAATTTTTGTTTTATGGCATTTGTTGCTAGTGCTTATTCTTGGGCTGCAAATATTAATCCTCCCATTTCTTCTTGATGGATCCAGCCTGAAGTCTCTGACAAATGTTGTTACTATTCACCTTGACTTCAATTTTTCCTGATATTGACCATGCAGAGGTTTACTTTTCCAATTTTTCATTCACTGTTGTAACTACCACCAAGGTCGACTACACCTAGTAGTTGTGATGGGAAACACTCTACAGCAAGGTCTGTGTGAGAAAAGTCAAATGGCCACCAGCACCGCAAAGGGCAGGCAAAACATCAACAAGGAAAGGCCTGGAAGGTGGAAACTCTACAACTTCATCTCCTCCAAGCCTAGCAAGCTGCAAGGAGAAAAATATGGAGTTCCAAGATAACTTATACAGTGTAAAATTCAACTTAAATGAACATTGTATTATATTAACTTATTAAAAAGGGGCTCACCAATTGTAGGGAAGTAGAAATAGTTCTGAACCCTGAACAAATGTATCTTTCCTTTCCCAAACATTACTCCTCAGAGATTCCATTGGAACACTTTCTAATGTTTTCAAGATGAATGGAAGAACTCTAACTCAGTAGTAACATACAGGTATCTGCTTGCACACACAGAATGCCAGTTTAATCTGGATAGGGCTGGGAAGAGTCCCATTTGAAACTTGAAAAGTTGCTGCCAGTCTGTGTAAACAATACATAGGTATATACAAACCAGTAGTCTCATTCAGTGTAAGGCAGCTTCTCTCATTCCTACCTCATAACAAAGGAACTTTATTTTGATAAAGTTGTCAAATTTATGAAAAAGGCATTGCCAAAATATCCAATATGTTCAGATATATTCTCACAAAACATGACTCTTGTATTGTGGAATTATAAAAAGGGGGGGGCAAATGCATCATACCAACAAGTGAGTCACCCACAAATCCTACACTACAATTTTGCTCCTTCTGGGAAATTTTCTGTGAATGCCCATGCCACTGTGTATCATACTTCTGTAAAAATCTGTGCCATAGCTAGCTTTACTGTATTTCTGCTAAAGTTCACAATGCACACGCCACAAGGACAAATCTTTATATACATTGGCTCAAACAGGAGGCAGTTTATATGGCTTTTTTTTTTTTTTACGTGAACATAATTGCATAAAACTGTTTGCAACAGCGCTCCTTCAGAAGATAGAATCTAATCTACAAACACAGCCGTTTTAAAAGTTAAACATACAACTTAACCTGTACAACTAAATCAAATGCAAAAATTATGGAGACCTCAAACCCATAATCAAATCAAGAAATCACCAATTTATCCTCTGGACAGCTGCCTAAGTGATTGGCCCACAATTCCATATCTGGAACTATGATGAGGTTGGTGGGAGGGAAGTCTGAAATAACAAAGCATTACAGTTGATGTTTAGATTATGCTTAATCACTCACACCCACCTATTTCCTTCTTTCAACTGAAGTCTGACAGAGAGACCTCGGTGCAAAAGTTCACTTAAAACCAACAAGAACAGCTAAGTTCAAAATAAGAGAACCAAAAATGCAGACTGGAGCAGGGAAATTTCAATCTAAAGCGAACCCCAAAATAACTTGTAATGAAAACAAATATCTATCACAAGATATGGTTTACAGATTCCCAGTCAGTAATTTCAAGAAACAATTTCAAACAGCCAAAGCAACTTTGTGTAATGTCAGCTCCGCATTACAGACTTATTTAAGATAGCTGAGCAGCAAAGCAAAATAATTATTTGTCATACTGAAAAAGTCATACAGGTTATCAAAATATGAAATGAGGACAAAAATGCTCTAAAGTATTATATTTCAAGTATTTTATCAGAAAAACTTGACAATATTGCATTGTTAAATGCATACGTAAATATACCTATTAAAGTGCCATTAGCATTTTACCTCAATTTTCATTTAAAGATGAACCTGACCTGTTTGATATTGTTAGCATGTCCTCCATTTTGCACAAACCAAAACTTCACTTTGGGGGCAACATTTATAGCACTTTTAATTGAGAGATGCATATCTAGCCATCATGGTGTCCTCTGTTAACTATAATCCATTTGTTACCTAGCAAGTGTGTGATTATCTAGCTCTGGTACATACTATTATTTATAATTTCCCTTGCCCTAATTGACATCACATAATTAGCGATGTAGAGAACTGAAATTCTGATTTTGTTACAATTTTTTCTCTCTCTTGATCCTTTTTCTTTCTGATGCATTAAAGTTGTGTGCCTTAGTTGACAAAATCTTCATTAAGCATTGCATAATCATGCTGCTGCTTCTGTCAAAGTCCTCTTTCTTAATGAACTACAGGTTTGCCTCATTTTATGCAAATTCATGTTATATGAATTTGTTCTTATACGACTGATGACTTTTGTCCAAAAATTTGCCATTCTGCACTGGTCCTGCCCCCCTGCAGTTTTAATTTAGAATTAATTAGTCTTTAGCCCTTTTGTATATATACTGGTCTTGGACCACGATAATAAAACATTTGATTTTAATTTGCTTTATGTGGGCAAAAATTGCTATGATGCAACTGGCACAAGAGGTCTGGAAATATGCCAAAACTTCTTCTTACCTAAATACATGACAATAGATACAACTATATTTAAGTGAAAGTATAAGAATCTGATGAACAAGTTGAAAGGATATTTGAGGAAGGTTAGAAACCAAATAAGCACTAACAATCCTGATCTGTGAAAACGACTGATTTTCTCCTTTCTCTCTTTGTAACAACACTGAAGAATCCAAATACTTCGAAGATGAGAAAAGAAACTCCTACATCTTTGGGATATGAACATTCATTTAAAAATTCCCAGGACCTTTATGAAAACTGCTTCAATGGTCAAAGGCTTTCTACACTCTTCTAGATAGTGAGTGGGAGCATTTCAAAGAAAAGAAAAACTGACAAAGTTCCCCACACTTATTTTTCAGTGAAATGCAGACATCTATCACTTGTTCTTCTACAGAGATAACCACACAGAGATAACTTCAAATACTTAAACATGAAACTGCAGTTCATTCAAACCAAACTAAACTAAACTAAACTAAACCAAACTAGACAGACAGATTCCCATTCTGATGTTGCTTTTTTGCCAGGAGCATGATATCATATTCTCACCTCCAGAGCCATCCCATTCCATCATAGCTTTAATGACAGCTATAATCCCCAAGGCACCAAATACCGTAAGCCATTAGAAAGTCAAGAGCTGTATACAATTTTTTTTTCATTATGAGAAACGCAATGTTT